AGATAGATAGATAGATAGATAGATAGATAGATAGATAGATAGATAGAGGCAAAATAGTATGAGAAATGTCATAGCAAATTAACAGCTCACACGTAAATGTTCCCACGTAAATGTCCCCCTTGGTCATAAGTTACATAAAATTACATTTGGTTTGATTCTGTCAGGTCTTGATTTTTTGTTGTTGTTGTTGAATCTTATTTTATTTTAATTTTATTTATTTATTCATTTATTTATCTATTTATTTATTTATCTATTTATTTATTTATTTATTTATTTTCAAATCGTAATTTTTACTTATTCACACAGAGGACATTCTGCTACACCCAGAGTTAAGTGTCTTAGTCAGTTAAAATTAGAGAACCTCCTTCTGTATTAGAAGGAACGAAAACAGACATTTTCAGGTAGACAATATACTGGGTATAAAGAATTTTAGATCATGAAGAGTTTTAGATCCTAAGTAGGATGTCTGCATCAACCACCGCCCTGGCAACCTTACAGCTTAGGGAGCTATAAGGAATAGGAGGTAGAAAGAGTGTAAGAACCAGAAGGTATATATAGACCCAAGGAAACAATGTTTCCTCCAGACACAGCAGGATTCGTGGACATAAGAACCTACAGAGAATGTGGCAGCATGCACAGTATCTATGCATGTTCAAGCTGTACTCACTGCGCCAAGACTTCTAGATTGGATGTTGCAGCTCATAATAGGTAATGCAGATTTTCTCAAAAATAGTAAATAACAGCTCATCAAGGGTTACTCTGCAGGGAGTGATGTGTATAGCGCACAGGTGCGTGCGAACACATAGATTCCCGCATTGTGGTTGTGGGTCCCGTGTGTCTTCTGTCCTTCGTGGGGGTGGGGGGAGGCGCACCTCCAGAGAGAAGCAGAAGTGTGCAAGCAGAAAGTTCGACTGAGTTAGGTCTGCGCAGGGCACTGGGCTGGCATTGTGCTGTGAGAAGCAGCTGGGGTGCTCCCAGGCATGGGGAGTCCCTCACTCAGTTTGAGGTTCCTCGGGAAGTGCAGGGCTCTTGGGTGGGGATCCCATGCTGGGGACATTTTTGGGGATTCCTGACACAGCTGAGGGCCGCAGCTGAACAGAGGCTAGAAGCACACAGGCACATGACCGGCCCACACACTGAGAGAGAGGCCCTGACCCGTGCTCACTTGTTATACTCGCTTGGCTAAAAGGCTGCTTGTTTAAAGATGCTACGCAATGAGAAAAGCAGAGAAGCTTTCCACCATGGCAGGCAGGCCCCAATGACCTGAGGAAGTTTGGGGTTCCAAGAGCTTTATTGACATAGCTGATGATAGTTGGTGTGGATGTACCCCCACATAAGTTAAATAGGAAGGGGGGAGGGCCTGGGAAAAGAACACTTAATTAGCTATGCCCTCTGGCTTTTAGTTATCTCACGATATGGAAATCTCTTGAGGCTGAAGCCTGTAGTCATGCCCTCTACCTGTGTTAGGTGACACCTCTTTAGGAGGGGCTGCCTTGCCCTACATGACTGTAAGGCGCAGGTCAATGGCCTGTCAGGAGCCTGGGATCTGGAGGCATGGCTGAACACCTGCCATTGCCCCATTGGGGTTGGGGCTCAAGGCCTGTGCCACAACAGAGACCAAGCCACCCCTTCACAGCCCCCCATTACTCTTCATGGATTCCTCACCAGAGAGAGGTCACTAGGACTTGTCATCTGACCAGACTGTGGCATGCGACCAGATGATGCAACAAGAGATGGGTTATGGGACTTTGACACCTACTCTGAAGCATTTAGTCCCAGCTTTGTTGTAGTGCATGATCAGCTGTGCTGTAAGGCAGGACGGCACAGTGGGCACATTGATGGGAGACAGCATGAATCAAAACATTCCACCCTCCCAATTTTCTCGCAATAGAAGCCCAAGAGCCAGAGTGGTGATTTGTGAAGCTGCTTTTAACCAGTCTTGCTACTTTTCCAGGGTGATAATTTGATAGACTTGCATTTGAAAACTATCAAATAAAATTCATGAAATATTAATCAACTATTAATATTTATGAGTAAGAGTAAATGATGAACATTATAAAAGCAATTGATATTTGAGTTTTTAATAGCAGTATTTTTAAATATACTTATTACATTGAACATTAGATCTGAACGTTATATACATGTCAATGTTCAAATCCTGTACCTTTGCCCAATACTTAAATCAATGCAAACAAACATGAATATCCTAAAATTCAACATTTTTCATTTCAATAATGTTAGGAATCTTTGATGATGAAATTTAATTATCACATTAGACATTATTTGGATGTCATTTGTTATTCCATATTTACAAATGTAATGTCACTATTTTATACATATTTAAAAAGTTAGAGAATTAATGTTTGTAAGTTGAATTTCTGTAGATTTATGTATTATTTAATAAACTTTTGGTCATTTTTCTTTCAGGTGTATGTGTAATATCAGAGGAAATTATGGAAAGATGTAACATACTTCTTAAATGGAGAGAAAGTAAAAAGATTTATATCCAGTCAGGGCATCATGTTGAACTTATATGCAAAGCTGGATATCAAAAGGCAAATGGATCATCTGTACTTAGCACACAGTGCACTGATGGTCACATCACTTATCCCTCTAGCACAAAATAATAATACAGTTATTAGTAAATTATATGGATGAACTTTTGTTTAGAAAAACACATGCATGTTACTAACACATTTTCCAGTTATATTTTAAGTTTTGTTTAACATATTTATTCCACTACTGCAAGCTTCTGTTGTTGTGTCATGATTAATTTGGACCTTGAGAGACAGCTACCACAAATGCAAAAGTATGCATTCAAAATTCCTGATCCAAACTGTGATGTGTCCTAGCACAAAATATCAATGGCAAAGAAATAGTTTATACTTCTTTAACTAGCAATTTTTAAAATCTCTCCACTATTAGCGGATACTTTTGAATGTAACTCTTATTCACAGTGAATGTAAAACGTATCATCTCATTCTTCCAATTAGTATCATTTCACAAACATGTAATAACAAAACTGACATACTTAACATTACTAATAAATGTAAGTAAGGGCTACATAATTCTTTTGTACTAATATACAAAACTAAGAAGCATTTTCTGTATGAACTTCTAAAATAATAATGTGGTACATTGAAATATTCAGGTGATTATAAAATCTAATTAGAATATAACTGGTTATATGATTCCATCTCTGTCATAATATTGACATTAAAAGCTAAAAATATTCTATATAACTTATAAACAAGCAATAAGCATATACATACATTTTAGCCAAATAAATAAACATAATAAATACAGTAAAAGATATAGAAAAGTAATTTTTCTTTAGATATAATAGTATAAAGAGTTGCTATATATTTTAAGACACATTATAATTTACATTAACTATATGACAGTGAAAATGATATTTATTGAGCAAATACTGGTGGGTTTTTAATCTTTTTTCCTGGATTA